ATTCGCTGAGCTGGCTATCGTTTTTGTTTTCTTAAGTCCCTTGAAGTTCATTTTTGTTTCTGAAGTAATGGAAAGATGGCGAGGGGCCAGCAGTTAGGTGCTGGCTCATGTTACAGCAAAACGGTGGGTCCCTATTTTTTTTTTTTTTTTTTCGGCTCTCGGTGAAACGGCTTAATTGGTGTCAGAGCCCCAGGGATAAAGGCCTCTCACTCTGAAACGCCGCCACACAGGGCCCTGTCTTCCCTCAGTCCAAGAGGAACGGCCCAACGTCTGCTGCTGAATGAGGACTGAGCCGTGGCATAACAATACCAAATGATGTTTGGGATGACAGAAATTAATATGCACTTGCTCCCAGAAAGCCGTGATTAATGACGGCGAGCGGGGGAATGCTGTCCCTCCTTTTACTCCTCTTGATGGGGACTGAAAAACCTTAAAAAAAAAAAAAGGAAGGGAAAAAAAAAAAGCCTGGTTTCTCCTCTCTTTAGGAAGTGGAGGTCATCCAGCGTACGTTGCTGCTGTTCCTCTTTTGTTTTCTCCTCAAGAAGACTACGAGGAAGAGGTGACAGACTGTAATGAATTTTAGAATGAATAACTAACGTAGCTGGCCAAGGTTTTTGTCCTGCTGTATCAACAATTGTAGGACGTTTCTCCAAATACCTCAGCGAAGCTGATTTGATATGATACAACTACGTGCAAATATAGCCTGATAATTCTCCTTCATGTGGCTTGTTTTACCAAAAAAAAAAAAAAGATTCAATATCATTCCCTTCTTCCTTCCTTGTTTGAAATTTAATACATACCCATTGATCTGGAGCCAAATGTGTGGACAAAATGGTGGTATGCTGTTGCCATGATAATGATCAGTATCTGTTGTGTCCTAGGAGGAGACACATGAATATTTAATTGTGTCTGCTAGAGAGATCCCCAGACCCTTCTGTTCATTTCTTACTTTCTCTAATGCGTTTCCACCCTCCCAGGTACTTCCTCTCTAAGTAATGGAGAATTAAAGCGCGCATTAAAACGACATAAATTGCGACGTAAGGGATTTCTGAGGACATTCGTCTCGGCGCGATGTGCTCGAAAAATTCAAATGGCAAGTTTTGACAACGGACATTCTGCTGACGCCGCGCATTTGCCTCACATCGGCTCCTTCAAATAAGCATTTCCTCTGTCAGGGTGATTGATATGTATTGAGCATGCACTTTTTACGTGGCGGTTTGCTCTGGGAGATGATGTGGGTGCAAGGATACGAGTTTTAAACAGTGAATGAGCTCCCCTCATATTGATCTATTTGTGTTGCCAGAGTGGCAGGTGCTATACGAACACTGTGTCAGCTTTGATTGTTTGTGTCAGTGATCCGAGCCGACACTGAGCTCTCTTACTGTTCGTCGCCATGCTGGCTTTCTGTTGATGAATGGCAGCATGCTGCTCACATCCTAAAAAAAAAAGAAAAAAAATCATGTCAGTGTCAAAATTCACACTGGATTTTAGAGATTAGTCATCATTTGTGTAGACTTAGATTTTTTTCCATCTTTTTTTTTTTTCCCATTTGTTTTTATTCACCAATCAGGCTTTTGACTGGACAATATCAAGTTACATTTTTGTAAAGTCTGACCTGCCTTTTAAGATTTCAACCAATTAAGATTTTTCTTTCAAAGGATCATAACATCCCAAAAAAATGCATTGAATTGAATCGAATTGATTATGTGTACATAATCTGATTATTAATCAAAAGAATCCAATCAATCCAGATAAATGTGGACTTGTTGCTGGACACTGCCACTCAGCTGGCTGAAAGCAGGCAATGGCAGTAACACTTAGAAGAAGGCTAAATTCTCCTAATTGGAAATATTTCATATGTCAAAAAATTCTGACAAAAACCCATTGTCAACGCTACATCCATCCCTCTTAATAAGCTAAGAGTTTTCAAACTTTAGCTATGAGCAGCATTTTTATCAAACAGCCAAATCTTTCCAACCAGATATTCATAGTATTTAAATAGTGATCATCCGTTTGTTACTTGTTTTACTCTACAAAGAGCAGAACAGTAAAAAGTCAAGTTTTTTGCATAGTAAGCACTCGTAAACTACATTTGTGTTCAAGTCTGTGCAACCAAGAAGCAACAGCTAAATATTATTATAACTATAAAAATACTATGCGATATTTTAGCAGCAGTAAGGAATTACTTCTGCCTTTTTTTTACAATAAAGGCATTTATATGTCATACATTTTTCATTACATGGTACTGTGACAGTATGACACAGAAACTTTATCATAATCTCATACGCTTTCTTCTGATGTTTTTGGTTTCTTAACATAATTATGTGAAAGCTTTTATCATGAATGGTAGCTCATTATTGAGGGACAGGAGGTGTGGTCCCTCTCCTTCTTTAGACATTCAAATTTCAGTCCTAACCTGTGTTTGTGTGTGAGTACACACGCGTGCACGCGCGCGCGTGTGTGTGTGCTGGCAGGCTCGCTCGGGTACGGCGTTGAAGGTGAGCCCCAGTAAGTATGCAGAGCACGGCGGGCTTCGCACGGGTGCTGAAGGAGAGCATGGAGTGGCAGAGTTAATTTATTTAATGACTGAGCGTCTTATATCTTCCCCAGCCCTGATTAGAATCCATGCTTGATGAAGGAAGCGATAGAGGAGGGGGTGCACTGCCCCCTGGGCCTCAGCACGTACATTCATGATTTTCTTCCTCCAGCGACTGCTTTCCCGACGCTCTGTCAACCAGCTTTTGGAATAGCAGAAAAATTATACCAAAAATGTAAAAACTCCATTACTTTTTATCATGGCGCGCTTTGAAAATGGCCGTACGTGAGCATCGTGTTGCTGCGCTTTGACAGCAAAAAACACAGCTCAGAGCTGATTAAATATGTGCATTTGCGTGTGAGTGCGTGTGAGTGCGTGCACGCGCGCGTGTGTTTGTGTGCTTCTTGATAAAGACGAAGCACCGTGGAGCTGTATGAACGTGGGAAAGCCAAACAGAGTGTGTCACTTTGGCAGCGCGGGCTGTCAGCATTGAGGAGCTGCAGTTGTAAAAACCATGACCTTCCTCTTTGCCAGCATGTCTCTCGCTGAGCCAAAGCGCTGCCCCGTAGATTTGGGCTGGCTGTGGGAGGGAATACAAACAGAGAGGAAAAGACAGACAGAGGAGAAAAAAAAATAGAAATACTTAGAGCCATAATTGTAAAGAAGGGCTGGGAGGGGTGATTTGCTGGTTGGAGTAATGAAATACTTCTTGGAGCTATCATGACTGCGAAGCTGAGAGGAAGCAGGAGGACTAAGGAAGAGGGGAAAAAATACTTCCCGGCTTCTAACATTTCCATGAGCCATCATCAGTAATGCCGCAGCAACCCCACAAACCAGAAATTATTTCTTCAGGCGTCGCTGTCAAGTGTTATTCAAATAACACCAGCCTCACATTTGAATAACAGCCGACATTTTGAATTAATTAATCAGACAAGATAGTCTGGGCCTTTTCTCATTAGTCTACAGGTCAGGCTGGGGAAGATATATGCGCTGGTGATGATATACTTGTCTTTAATAGTGATTTATGGAGATTTGGGATTGTACTCGATTTGTCAAAGGGCTCGGTTGTGGAAAAATAGACGAGTGTATATTTCATTACTTTATCTTTGATGCGTTCCACGATGTTAAAAGATACAGTCCTGCTGTTTAGATGCGCACAGAGCTCTTTTACATTCACCCTTCCTGACTGAAGACACACACACACACACACACACACACATTTAATCTCTTCTCATACTGTACAGCTCTCCCATTTTACTTTTCCTATGCAATTAAGCGAGGGCTGTAAATTATAACTGCGCCGTACTTTAATTATCGCAGTGTAAAAATAGAGTTCCTGTCTTTGAGAGGATTTCATTAACTTCCTCAATAGTCCATGGCATATCAGAGAATCACAAGATTGCAGGAGGGTTTGTGCTTGTCATGCTCCCAAAACAATAATATATATATATTTTTATTGCAATATACAACAAACACAAGTGGGATAACTTAAAGATGCACTGGTCTGTCGTCCGGTGATCAGACTCATCTGATTTTCTCTTGATCGGCTCTGTTGAGTCAAACAATTTAAAAATATTGATTTTTTCCCCCGTATTCATTAAATGCATCAAAATAATAAATTGATGTCATCTTTGATCTATTAATGGGTCGACCAAAAACATCTACTTTGATGTTCCTTTTCTCAGATTATTATAAATTAAATTAAGCTTAGTGACATGTTAATCTGTGTTAGAAGCTACCACCTTTTCCACATTTTATTTTATTCTTTATCATCCCATAATAATAATAATAATAATAATAATAATAATAATAATAATAATAAAACTGAAATTTGTATCAGCCAGAAAAAAAACAACAACAAAAAAAACAAACAAAAAAAAAACAGATTGGTTTGTCACTAATAATCCACCCCAAAAATAAATCCTTAGTTCAAAACTACGACCTCTATACAAAGAACCACACTGTGTGTATTTTCTTTTATATTTTATACTCCTTCAGAAAAACAACAACAGCAAAGCAAAGAAAAAAAAATTGGAGTAGGTCAAAACCCTCAAAGAAAAAAAAAGGGAAAGTGTGGTCGGTGCATCTCTGGCTGATTTGCCAATATATACACTAAATATTTTCATGGCTGCATTTCTGGATCCACCTCAGTGCCGCCTGTTTACCAGCTGGTGTGACATTTTATTTTGGGTTCATATACGTCGGTGTGTGTGTGGTTATGGAGGTGTAAATTAATTTTTTTTAAATATTATCCAGTGTTAATGATATAGTGTCACCTGTTTTATGAGGTGTTAGATATAAATAACTGTTTAGTCTACAACTGATTTTTTTTTTTTTACATACTCTGGTTTTAATTATAGGGCAGAAATAGTACAGTATGCATCTGGGATTTTATGCTAGACTCTCTCTGTGTGTGTGCTAGCACATGTGTATGCGTGTGTCTCTGCGTGTGTGTTTGTGTGAGTGTGTTAGAGAGTGTCAGGAAGCTCTGAGCTGTTGCCATTCCGGTGAGCAGCCCACACAAAATGCACCAACACCAGTGTGACAAAACATTCAAATAAATTGCTGTCAGGCTGCCGAAACACCGAGTGCAGCGATTTTTATCTGACATGTGGAAGACCCAGACATGCAGTCCTGACAAGTAACGCCGGAGCACCTGTGAGAGACGAGCGATAAAAATCAGAATGCGCCTGATCCTCGGCATAACAATACCTATCATTACTTGATATTATTTCTTGTCTTTAAGAGAGAGCTCAAGATGGGGAGATAGGAAAGATGCGCTGGCTGCTCTAAAGTGAGACTATAGCAAAAAATGATCTATGGGTGTGCATCAAAGTGAAAATGCTTTTTAAATTTAATGTGGACTTGTTTGCGTGAGTGCATCATCTGGAGAAAACTTTAATTTCTGTAAATTATTTAAAATGCATTCATGCATTTTTTTTTTTTTGTAAATATAACTGGAATTTGGATTTTTACATGATCCAAATATGTTCTTTGACATTTGTTTGTGCTGAAAAAAAAACAAAAAACAAAAAAAAAACATGCTGTTGGGCTTTTGTATCACTATGCCTATCAGCACACAGACACAAACATGCACCAAGAGTGGATGTTTGTGTAACTCTGTAATTCTGAAATCCAATTGAGAAATACTAAAAATAAAAGAAGTAGAAGAAGAAGAGGGAGAAAAAAGAAAACTAGGAGACAAAGAACTGACAGAGGAATGTGCCATCCATTCTCTGCTGTATTGTTATTTTCTCCCTTATAGGTTACTAATGAGGAATCGGCCCTCATTATGATTTTAAGGATGAGAGAGGAAAGCTTTTAATTAATGATATGTAAATGGTTCTGAATTGATTATGTTAGAATATCAAGAGAGATGGGTAGAAGCTGTGGTGTAATATATTTTAATTAAGAATTAATTAAAAATGATGGCAATTTTATAGAGGCTCGTGCAAAATAGAAGAATTTATTCTCTGTCACAAGTAAATCAGCCCTTGATTAAATAAACAGACACACACTGTATTCATGGAGGAGATATACGTATCCAGTATATATATATATATATATAGATATAGATATAGATATGACTATTAGTTTATTCATGGTGGACCACAAGCCACGTTTTTCTGGAGTTCATTTTAATTTATCTCATTCTTAATTCATGAGATCCTCCTGGTTTGTGTTAGGAGGATCAATAAAGCTGTGTTTCCTTTTTGCATTCAGTGTCTACAATTAGATTTGCAACAAGGAATGCAATTATGAGCAAGACATGAATGCGAGTTTTTATCTCTTGTGGCAAGTGTATGTACACCCCCTAAAGACACCAGTCTGTATACGAGGTAAAAAAAAAAGAAAAAAGAAAAAGATTTGTGTGAAAAAGATGAGTTGAGACGAGACGTGGACCCCGGTTAACCTTTTTAATTGCGATTTGCTTTCTTTCATTCATTCTTCGGGGCACAGGGAAGCAGGAGACATTAGGTGCGTTAATAGTGTGCGCCGCTATTAAAGGGAGAGAGGTCTTTGTTTTTCTGCTAACAGTGGCATACATGCTCTGTGCTAAACTCCGCGATCAATGGCAGAGAGGCTGCTATCACAGCACTCGGAGCAGGCGTTGCTCAGGGGGGAGGGAAGCGGGGGTCCCTGGTGGTTCATTTTGATTGGAGCACGGAGTTTTGTGTTGAAAGGCGAGGGAGAGACAGGCTGTTGGAAGCAAATCCCCCCGGATCAGTTAGAGCTTTGCAACAAAAACACCTTGATATTCCTGGGAACATTTGCTTAGGAAAAAAAAAAAAAAAAAGGATGAATTTAAATAAACAGGCAATGAGAGAATGAGATGATCTAAAGCAATTTTGAAGGTTTGGGTGTTCAGAAAAAGCGTTTGTACCCAAAGCTTGGAATTAATTTAGGGCCTCTTTTCAAATCACAGTGGAAAGCTGCAATAGAAAACCATTGCTTCTTTGGTTTGTAATATTTTTTTTTTTTAAGAAGCAAATTGTGTGAGTAATATACTGGGAAGAGTCAAGGCGTGAGTGGAGAACGTTTATAACTTAATAAGTTAAGGGTGAGTTTAATGGAGGATGTGCTGCTGAGATAGAGGGAGTATTAAATCGATAAATAGTTCCCCCATACCATGCTACATGAATGGTCACATGTGCATGAAATATCTGGGAGAGCACAAGGAGGATGCATGTTCAAGAAAAAAAAAGAGAAAAAAAAACAACATGCAATGCCCAGATGTGAGCATGCATGCATATACAGTGTACGCGCACCAGTGGCTGGAGGAGCATCTTCTTTTTGACACGTTCAACTAGTTGCAATACATCACTGTCAGGATCACTTTCTCCACCTATCCGAATTTGTGCATTAGTTATCCATGGAGGCCTTCATCAAAAAGTTGAGCAGTCTTGACATCAGCTCCCTAGCGGGAGCAGCAAAGGTGAAGTTGTGCTCAGGGTGCCGTGGCGGTTGTCATTGCAGGATGTACTCTCTGCACCGAGCTGCGTTAGAATGACAACTGAAGAGAGAGAAACGATGCTAAAACGTACAAATATTGTGCCACCATTAATTTAGCCGTCGGCACGTGAGGGGGAGATTATGAGATGCGAAAGCAAACATGCTAGGTGTCTCTTTATAGAGATTCACACAAACATGCTCTGCTGAGTGTTCTGTGGTTATGAAATGAAAAGCCTGACATTGTAAAAAGCCACAGTGGTGATTGTTTTAAGGCCTTTAGTCTAGATTCAGAGAGAAATCAGCTGCTGACCAGAATCTGTTAATTGACTGACTGGAGACTGGCTGGTTGGGAACATAAATATCTTGTTTTGAGAATTGAATTCACCTGGATTGCCACTGACATTGATGTGTGACAAAAACTGATTGTTCTGATTGGTGAGGAGTTTGTTGCTGTGTTTATGTAAAAATGCGCTAGGCAGCAATGTCAGTATTTCTCTGCTTCCAATATCCAGTTTTTATATCCGCAGGAGACATGAATACATCCGAGGAACGTTTAGCTGATGGAATTCTGAAAATTTCTATCATTCTTCACTGAATAACTACTATATTCTTAAATGGTTAATAACTTCTGGATGGAAGTTGTAACATTGCTGTGCACAAAAGAGACTGTCTGCATAAAAGTGTGGTGCTAGCTTAGCTCCTTTTTGTAAAAGCCCCACGTGGTCTGTGCCGTTGTATGAAAGGTGTATGCGAATGTCAACGTATCGAAACCTCGTGACTGAGCGTCGACTGTTTGTCTTCAGCTGATGTATGTGGGAGCTTTTAGCGAGTCCATAAAAATCCTCTTCGAAGTGGAAGGTGTTACTGAGCTAAGAGAACTCAAAGTTAGCTCATTTCCGGATCAAGTTCAGTGCTTAAAAATACATGTGTAGATAGAGAGATTCAGATTCATTCAGGCTGTGAGGAAGCGGGAGAAAGCAAGACTTTCTGCAGACACTACTAAGGCTGAACAATGTGCACCAGAGTCATTTTCTTTTACCTTTTCAAACTCTGTCGTGATAGATTTTGAAATGTCACATTTTGTAAGGTAGAAGCTACAGTTCTCTTGATGCTAGCTGTACGATGCTTGTTAATTGCTGTCATAAGAATCTAAGCCCTGATATTTTTGTGCTAACATTTAAAAAAAAAAATCTTTTTGGTAGCTCTCTCTAACACACCAACAGTCACGCCTTTTCAGTTCCTAACCACTCACGGCAGGAAGTGTAGTAAAAGCATTGGAAACACAGATCTTATGTCTTCCTTTAAAACAGTATTTAGGAATAAATTGTAAGCGACTAGAATCGGTGTGTTGGGATACGTGTCAAAAACATTTTTGATCAGTGCATTTCGAGCCTCGAGTGTGTTTGTGTAATCTAACAGAGAGTTTGGCTGGTGACGGGGAAGTGAGGTCAGGGCTCCCCCTGTGTGCGCGCGCTGCGGAGATGAGGAGAACCTTCCAGTGGCACTGCTAGTGGTGAGCTCCAGCCACGGCAGAGAGGAGATTGGGAGTAGTGAGTGGTTTGGAAAGCGCGAGGGGGGCATGGGGGGATGGGGGGGTCGGTGGTGCTTCAGCATCTGAACTGGTTGATGGGAGCCAGAACATGAAACAATGCCGGGGGAACGTCTGGTGGGTTCGCTGCACAGAATTACAAGCAAGGGAGCAGGCCTGCTGAGGCAATTACAGCTTAATGGGGTCATTTGGAAGGCAATTGCCAGGGGTTAATGTAGTATGGAGAGATGAGGTGAGATTGAAGTGAAATTTTTGGCTAGAAAATGTGTTCAAATGAAAAGGGAGCAGGCAGACAAGTCGTGCACTGATGGGGTGGGAGGTTGACTGGGGGGAGCTGGTCTCTCACTGAGAGGTGAGAGGCCTGACCGCACACTCAGATGAACACTACTGCAGGCAAAATGCACATGTCCACACAGGTGCACTCCTTCTCCTGCTGCATGCCCTTGCTGTCCAAATCTGGGGGATTTTGATTGTCTTTAGTTACAGTTGTATTAATCCCAGCTCTGAAAATATTACAGTCAGCATTAAAAAAAGAAAAAAAAAATAGAGCCCGATGCTGTTTTCAAGTGATGCAAAGAGAGATGTCGTGTCAGATGAGCTGCAAGAGGCACCTTAGAGAACAGGGATAAAAAGGATGATTATGGCTGTTATGTTAGCCAGTTCATTACCTTAATTACCCAACATAATCTGGTGTTGGAAAGGGTGCGCAGAAGCCTTGGGAAGGAGTCTTTGCCAGGACCTTCTTGCCCAGGTCTCATCTCCCTGATCCCCCTGATCTGCGGTAAGCAGCCTGATCATGCTAACGCTAAACTTTGATCAAAACCGAACTTATTTAAGGTCAGTCATGTGAAATCTCCCGGGAGCCACCGTGTGCGGCCAAGTGGTCCGCGGTGTAGGAAGTGGTACAGCACTGTGCCTTGCTGCTGCTGCTGCTGCTGCTGCTACAGCTACAGCCTCTGACCGTGCTGGATCACTGGACAGCAATAGCATTATCATCAGCGCTTTCAAGTCCTCAGCATTTTTACGCGATTATGCTCAACAGTGGAACTTAACATCGTCCACGGCTGGAGATTCCCGGAGACCGCGTTTTCCCCCACATTCTCTCTCTGTCTGCCATTCTGGCCCGCTCACTTTCTGTCATCTCTGTGAAGTCTTTGCCCGCCCGCCTCTCTCCCTCCACCCCCATCCTCCCCCCTCCACTCAGGGTTTTGGCTGAGAGCCGGGCACTTCACTGAGGCAGATTTTCCCAGGCTCCCCAAAGGCTATTTTACCAGGACTCCCATTAGGTCTTTACCCATTACCAGTGTTCCAAATCATTTACAGAAGAATCTATTTATTTTATGTAGTAATGGATTCATTTGACACAGTTCTCTGTAATGAAAGTCTTGCTTTTAACATGCACCATACTCCAGTGGATTTATTTACTGGTCTTTCTATGCCTGATTTATTTCAATCTACTGGAGATCTTGTTGCCTTGCAAAAGTTCTTGCCATTTTGTCACATTTCAAGCACAAACTTTGATGTTATTTATATTATGCGAGAAACAGAAGTAGTGCATAGATGGGTAGAAGCCAAAGTTCACATATTTGTATTCAACCCTCTTTACTCTGTTGCCTCTAAACAAAATCTAGCTTAAATGTGTGGCAGACAACTAACATTGCATGTCAACCTGAACACACTCTGCTCACAA